AATATTTTCAGTTTCTCAGATTATACACACTAAGACTTTTTAACAGAGTAACTAAACATTTTAAGCAGTGTGGTTTATAACTAAACTGGTTGTCTGACCAAATCCTTGGATTTGCTTTAAAACTACTTGTTCAGCAACTGAAGTTTCAAATTAAGTAATCAAAAATGCTGAGATTCTTGGAGCCATTAAATGAAGTTGACAGTTTATTTTTTTATTGCAAGAACTTCCTGTTGAATTTTATGAGGGAGTATTGATGTACATCTTGCAGAATAGAAGGCTTTGTTGTGCAGGGTTTAATGAATTTGAAAATTAGTTGCTGTCACCTGTCTAGAGTATTTGTAAAGAGGATCCTTCAAAGGGCAAGAAACTCCTAATTTTTAAGAGCATGATGATGTTTTTCAGAGGTTGGAAAGGACTCAATACCTGGATGCAAGGAATCTTAGATGCACCTAGGCAAGTTGGGTTTGACATGAATTATTAAAAACAAAAGTAAAAATAGACATTTCAGCAAGCCATCTTTCCTATTTTTGTAACTAGCTTCCCATTTAAAAATGAAGAAGCTTCCTGTCCTGTTCTGCAGGGCAAAAGCCTTTCTTTGCAACTGGAGAAAACAGTGTACCTCATGGGAATGGACACTGATGGTAAACACCATGGTGTCAAATGCCAAAGGGAAAATATGGAAGTCACTTCTCTCCTGGTGTTGTTTTTGCTGTGTTGATGGTTACCTAGAGAGCCAAAGGGGAAGTGAAACAAAGGAGTGCTGCTTAGCAGTTGTACATAGGCATCTTTATCAATAGGATGAAAGAAATCTAAGGCTTCATGGTAATATTAAGTCAGTTCTGAGAACTGGCCAAAACGCTGGGACTCCTGGCTACAGTTTGCAAGGCAAAGAAACAGAAGAGCTCCAGGAAGTGTCCTGCCTCTTCGGGCTCAAGCGTCCCAGGTTGTTCAGTATGCCTTTACCAGGTTTACTGTGCTTGTATTACATTACCTTTTAAGGTAGATGTTACATATGACAGCGTAGAAAAAGATTTAGGGAGTGATGCTTTTGCTTTCTCATATCTGCTTGCCGTGCTGTGGATTTTTCCACAGTAAAAAAATGCTGTAGAAAATGATGTTTTCTATGAAGCACCATAAGAAATCATTTTGCCTCTTGTATGCTAGTGAACAGCCTTATAGCATCTGTCTTGCTGCTCAATGCCTTGACTTCTGCTTAACACTGGATTTTTTTATCTGTATATTGATGCTTTTAAAAATTGATACTAGCATGGCCAGGTGTGATGTGGTTAGGAAGAGTTTTATGATTGGAGAATACATGGTAAGTGGTGAATAAATTTTTCTGGTTGCCTAAAAGTTTTCTGATCGAATCTGAAATGAAGGCTTGCATCTTATAGAATCCTGGATGGTTTGGGACTGGCTTCACAAAATTTATTTTGTATCGCCACAGTTGAGACAAGCTGAATTTCTTCCTTCTCTTTTTTTAGGGTAGCTTAAAGGTTAGGATTTTGTTTGGCTGCTTTTGCTTGGCTTTGTTTGGGATTTTCTGCTGTTTTGATTTTTTTTTTTCAAGGTATTCCCTGTATTTGCATTTCAAGACACTCATTCTGTTAGGCTTCAAACTCTATTATTTTCCTCTTTGCAAGACTGCTGGGGTGAATATATTTATAGGTAGTCCTTCTGTCCTTGTCTGTACTGTAATTTTTAATTAGATAGGCAGCCGGAACATTGACTAAGTATCTGCTAATGTATTTTAAATAATAACCAAAAAACCCTTGTCCGTGGTTCTTCTAAAATGTATTTATTCCCATAGTGTTTGTATGTGGCAGATCAGCTTTGGCTTTCGTCTGTCTTGCTTCTCTAGCAGTCTGAAAAGAAACAAAATATGCCAAATAAAAGTTTCTGTGATAAAGAGGAAAGCTGAACTAGATAACTATGCAACTTATTATTTAATGTAGTATATAGGGGCCATAGAGCTGTCCAGGTAGTTGGTTTGGCATGGGCCAGATTCTGAAAGAATGGAGAGCATTTCATTCCAGAGAAAGGAATGTCATTTTTTTGTTGTTAAATGGCAAGTGCGTGAGCCCTTTCTCCTGTGAAGAGGTCTTGTGGTCTGTTAACATGTGACTGCAAACCTTTAGTCAATTATTATTTAGGCTGCTATCTGCATGAATGAAGCTGGAAGCTATAAAAATACTCTCACTTCACAGCTAGTGTGTAAAAATACATTTTATGTATTTTTGTTCCTTGAAGATGATGCTCATGGATGTAGTCCTGAGCATCCAGTCTCACTTGTCAGTACCACGCAAGCAGTGTTGTCCTTAGTTGCCATGCAACAAACTTGTGCTTTCTTACAGTAGCTCACAGTGACTCAAGATCTTGTTTTCAATCATGTCTTGTTAATGAAGGTAATGTCTTTGTTCAAATCTGTTCTTGTAGATACAGTTGCTAAAACAAGAACTCTGCTGTCCGTTGTGTTGTCTTTTTATTTCATAGTTCTGCATCTTCTCTTCATCTTTCTCCTGCCTCGGTTCTTATGCTTTCCAAGACTCTTACCTGAATTCTTAGCTTGTTTGCTTTGTCAGCGGACAAGCAATTTATTTTCATATTCAGTGTGTTAAATGGAATGTGCGTGTTTTCTTGATGATGTGTTTCTGTCCATGGAGAAATTTCCTTTCTCTGTAGGAAGACTAGATTTATGATTAGTCTCTAGTCCTTTTAATTGTGGTTTATTGTTGCTGACTAAATTCAGTAACTGGAACACATTGTGCTTCTATTTATGTTTACTAAAATTGAGAAATCTATATTCTGGCTTGACAAAACACATCTTTGCTGGGTGAGGCTTTTTCAGGGATTGCTTGCTGTGGGGGAGTCTAACCACTGATTACGAAGAGGCCTTGGAATCGTTCTCTGTGGGACACTTACGGCAAATTGCTCCTCATGTCATTGCTCATTGCAGACTGACAGTTGTACGAGAAAAGGGTCGGACAGAAAGGAACTAAGTTACCTCTTGCTCTTTCCAGATGCTGTGATGTTCCTGCTGGAAAGGGAAAATTTAAGTTGTTGCTGAAAGTAGATGATTGCTGCCTGCTGTATGAACGGTTTTTGTTCAACCAGCATGGCTTTATTTAAGTAGCAAGAGAGTTTTCAAAGATGGCTGGTTCTTGCTCTGTGGCTGCTGGGAAATAACCCCTCAAGAATGGCACTGTGCCCGTTTGCCTCTTGGTGTTATTCCTCAGGAAGGCTGGTTCCTGCATGGCAAGTCATGAGTGAGTTTTTTTTTTTGGTTTTTTTTTTTTTTGCTGTGGTCACTCTGGTTGCACTTTTACCTGGTTCCAGAGTGCCTGCTTTAGGTTAAAGAAGACACTAGTCTGTGAAGTTTTCAGCTACATAACTAGAAGTTTTGGAGGTTTAGAGGATTGTTTTATTCCTACTCCCTCCCCCAAATATGCATAGATATAGACATCTTTCACAGCTATAGCAATCCATCAATTCCGGCTTTTAGCTACAGGATTCTCTTAAACAAATTTTGATTAACGAAAGACAAGTAAGAGCAGTTAGAGCTTATTCTGTCTTTAGTGGCTAGTGACTATCATGAAAAAGGGGAGGAAGGAGACAAATTACTGTAAGTACCACAGAAGTATCTTGAATACTTTCTACTGGAACTCTCCAGCGGTTGTTACGTTAGGCGCCATTTCGAACTTGCATATGTTTTAAATTAAATATATATAAATAAATGTTGGAAGGACATGTTATCTTTAGTACTTTCTGTTCTGTGGATGAAAATACCTAAGCCTTTTGTTGTACATAATTTTAGTGTGTAACTAAAGAGTTTTGAAAATATTAAAAATGAAAACAGAACCCGAGCTGAAAATTTTACTCTATATGGAAACTGCTAAAAAAAGATAGTGAGCTGGCAGGTTACTGTAAGAACTCCATTACTTTGGCGTAATCCGATTTCCCTTCCCAAAGAGAGATGGTCTGGAGCTGGCAGAAGCTCATCATTTCCCAGATGATAGACTCTGGTAACTTTTACGGGTTGTAATGAGCGATTCTTTGTATGAATTTTGTGCGCTGATGGAAGACTTGAGCATGTTTGAGAGTGCAGATTGGGACCTGTAATCTTATGCCATTAGTCTGATCAAATTATTTTGAGCTAAGATAAACTGTGAATGTGTACAGGTCGAGATAGTACTGTTCTCTCTGCCATTTCTTAAACACTTGCTCGTATTTTCCAGTGAAATAGCTATTCTATCTGTGATTTTTCTACTTTGTGTGAACTATATTGGATGAGGGAAGGCTGTCACAGAAGTTCCAATGATCATAAAAAAGGAAATTTGTTGATTTAAATTAAAGGGATGCTCCAGGCACTGCCTGTCCTGTTTTACTTATGGTCATTGATGTGGTATTCTCCTATTTTGGCTAAATGCTCTGATTTTTTGCTATGGAAAGAGCAAAGGGCAATTTTCTGTGACAAATCTGACAGTACCAGGCTTATGGGTATGTGAGAGTAATGGGGATAAAATTCAGATGCGTAAGAGATTTTGTGCCCCATCCGCCTGTAAAACGACAAAAGGATAATTTCAGCACATGGAATTTTTTCTCACCCTGATAAGAACCAGTTTTACCCCTTGTGGAATGGGCACATACACCTTTTGGTCTCTGAAGCAAGTGATTTTGCTTGTGATATACATACCCTCAGAGAACCAGAAAAGCTTGTACTTGGATATGCAGTCTCAGCAGGGGAATGTATCTGTAAGAGGCAATGCAGCGACCTTGTGTGCTGTTTTGTTTACAAAGAGTAAAGGTGGATTTAAATTAAAACCAGCAAGCTGTATCGCCCTGCTAATTTCATTGTAGAGCATCAATCTATAGAGGTGTCTGTCATCTTGCCAGAATGAATGTTAAATCAGTGTTTGTACAAGAGATGTTTTTCTAATAAAAATGTACTTTGAAGAGACTGAAGTTGATGAGAACTGAAGTCAGATACTCAAATTGCTTTAGCTTTTGTTTATTTCCCTCTTCCTGTGGCTACAGCTCTGAATTAGTTGCTTATCACGGAATGAAGTTTTGGTTGCCACCATGGGGCTGGGGTTAAAGTAGAGAAGACTTTGGAGGAGAGGACTTAATACAAATTTATAAGATATTGCTTGCATAAATAACAGAAAACAATAGTATTTATACCCTCTTACAGCACAGTTACCTAGAGTAATACATACAGTAATACTATCATATTAACGTGGCTCCCATTCCACTATACGTAGCTGACTTGTTCTTCTGTTTTATCAACTTCGTTCTCTGTGAGCAGCAGCGTATCCAGCAGAATGGCCGATGACGCTTGGATGGGTGAACTCCTCAGCCTCATTGGGCTCTGGTACATAATGGGGTTAATCCCATTTCTCATCCCATGCATGACAAAGAGCTTGGAATTTTCTGCCACAGAACTTCTGAAAGAGATCTTGCTGGAGCGTTTCCGAAGGGCCTTGATAGGCTTTGTGGTCTGATAGTTGCAAGTGATATACCTGCTGAAAGCCTCCCTAAATGTTTTGTTGAAGAGTGTATAGACAAGAGGGTTCACTCCTGAGGATACGTATCCTATCCAAACAAATATCTCCATAAGCTTTTGAAAAACCTCCTTGTTGCAGGAGTTGCACAGAACTGAACTTACGTTTGTTATGAAGAACGGGCACCACATTAACAAGAAAAGAAAAAATACAATCCCCAGAACTTTTGATGCCCTTTGTTCATTGGTTATTGTCTGCATGGACTTCCTCCCAATTGTAGATGTTCTGCAGATGGGCAAGTCATTGGACAAAGTCTTGTCCTTTCTGGAGCCATTTAGCATGGCCACCTTTTCTGGTGAGGAGGCAGGTGTTGTGTCACGCTGAAATACTGTGGACACTGTTGACCAAGTGAAACGCTGAGGTGGCTTGTGGATCAAGTAGGCCTTCTTGCGTAGCACTTGGATTGTCAGAAAATAAGTGACTATCATGATAGCGAGGGGAATGAAGAATGCGGCCACTGATCCATACAGAATGAAGTCATGAAAACGATCAGGCATCAGGACACACGTAATGTTTGTAGAGTTGCCATTTCCATCTTCAATGCCTCTGATAGGGATCGGAATAGCAATGCCTACAGGAGAAAAACCAAGTACTTCAGCATATGGTAGTTGCTTGCAATCTCCTTTTTGGACCTGAAGCCTCAGGGTCACTAAAGAAAGGTAGTGCCTGAGGTCTGCAGCAGACACAGGGTGACAGAGAATGTGAATTGTTGAATTGTTGAGAGCATCACATGGGTCATTGGGCAAATGGTACTTTGCAAACAGACTTGGCAAGCTTCGCTCTAACAGTGCCCTTTCTGAGGAGATCGGGCCTAACCCTTAGTGACTGAGGAAGCAGTGTAAAGTTGCCAACTTCTCAAGTGTAAAACACATGAATTGCTTTGACTCTAGTTGTTAGAATTAGTGTAGCTTTTCCTCCAGTGAAATGTGTTTCCCTAATGCCATCTGCTTTTTCCTTTCCACCCCCACTCCCCTTTGCACTTTTTGAAGGGCAGTTCTGTAAAGACATATAACATCTTTCCGTCCTATCTGAACCACATCAACTGACTGGACACAGCTGATTTTTTTTTGTCTTTTTTCACCCTTCTTGACTCTTTCGTATATACAAGTAGTTAAATAGAACTGCCAGAATTATGCAGTGTGTGTTTGAGATAGATTTGTTGTTTAAAGTCTCTTGTATATTTAAGAGTGTTTAAATGAGGCTGGCTAGCTCTGTAATTCACCCCTCGTTTAAAAAATAAAATGTTAACAGTCTTGTCTTTTAAATGAATTTTTTACAACCACTAAATTAGAGTCAGCACTTCATTTGCCAGCAGTCTGACATTATAACAAAAACAACAGGTTCCTTGCTGTCTGGCGAAGGTTATTTGTGCTGTGTTTCCTGATACCCCTTAATGAGATCTAGGGATTTACTGTATTCCCCTGCTGCTCTGCTTACTGAAGTTCGTTGAAGGCAGCAGGAGCAAAATGGTTTACCCTTAGCCACTTGATCCCCTTCTTAATAAGAGGCACACCTTCAGATGTGGCAAACATTTAAAATGAGGATTGAACCAAATTAACCTGTGAGTTGGACCCTGGCTCAGCTGCAGGGTACTTTTGTGTTGGTTAAAAAAGAAATGAAAAAGTACAACACTGATTAATAACAATAAACCAGTCACTAAAAGGTCAACTTGTGAGTGTCTTGCCATGCTAAGAGGTTCCTTTTTTTGTGATAAAAAAGAGATAGCATATTTGGCCTTAGTAATCCAGAATAATTTTGTTCTTTCTCTTGCACACAGAGCATACAGCACTGTGTCTATGGCTGCCTGCAGCATGCATTATTTCAATTAAATGTTTTCACCTTCTTAGCTCATTTAACAGATTTTTTTTTTTTTTAAGCATTAAAGACAGGTGAAGTGCCACATGCACTCCACAGAGGTGCTAATATCATAAAAGTTTATATGTTGACATCCTTTATATAAACTGTTCTGGGCTTGGGGTTTTTTTTTGCTTAGAAGTTAGCCTTTCTATATGCCATATTGCCAGTGCATCTCAGTCTTCAGTGTGAATGTTACCAGCCACTCACTCGTCTTTCAGTCTTTGATTTAAGCACAGGAAAGACATGGACCTGCTGGAACGGGGCCAGAGGAGGCCACAAAAATGATCCGAGAGCTGGAACGCCTCTCCGGTGAGGAAAGGCTGAGAGAGTTGGGGCTGTTCAGCCTGGAGAAAAGAAGGCTGCGGGAAGACCTTAGTGCGGCTTTCCATTACTGAAGGGGCCTGCAAGAAAGCTGGAGAGGGGCCTTTTACAAGGGCATCAAATGAGAGGACAGTGAGTAATGATTTTAAACTAAGGGAGGGTAGATTTAGACTGGGTATAAGGAAGAAATTTTTTACAATGGTGATGGTGAGGCACTTGATCAGGTTGCCCAGGTGGTAGATGCCCCATCCCTGGAAGTGTTCAAGGCCAGATCGGATGGGGCTCTGAGCAACCTGATGGAGCTGCAGATGTCCCTGCTCATTGCAGGGGGGTTGAACTAGATGACCTTTAAAGATCGCTTCCAACCCAAACTATTCCGTGGTTCTATGTAAGTAAGTAACATTTTTTTACTTGCTGCATGGGACAATTGTAAGGCCCAGATTTTAGCAGCAGCCACTCAAGGCTTAAATTTGTGTTTGGGACCGAGTATACTACCACAGGAACGCGAAATCTTCCTAGGAGATATGCTATGCATGCAGATGTTGTCTTCTGATTTTTTGGACTTTTAGGACTACGAAGAAGAGCGATGATTATCGCTACTCAATACTTGCCCTGTCTGGTAAGCCTGACAGGGAGCAGCGGTACAGACAGATTTTTATGATGGAGCTAGAATGATCCAAGAGGTGGACTTAGGCCGGCCGTGATGTTAGGCTCTGCTAATTAATAATTCTTGGCCAAATTTTCCACTTTGTCCAGCTTTCACCTATTGTTTTTGACATGAAAAGCTTCTGCATTCCTTTTCCAGTCTCCAAGTCTCACATACCTATTGAAATGAGCCAAACCACGATGATTTTGATGGTTGTTGTAGCCCATGAATTGTACTGACTAGCCTGGATTGGCTTTTTAATCGCAATATAGCGGTCTAGTGAGATGGCACAGAGGTGCATGATGGAAGCTGTGGAAAAGAGGACGTCAAGGAACAGCCAGATGGGACACAAGGCAGTTGGAAGGGGCCAGGCATTATCTGAAAGAGAACAGAAAACTCATTAGAATCTGAGCTTTTTAAGAGTTTTTGGTGTGTGGTTTTCCCTTGGCTTTGGAACCTTTGAGAATTTCATAATCCTACAGGAACCAAGCTTTGCCGCTGCCTCAGCTGAATTCTGGCTTACGTTTTAGTTGGCTCCTAACTGACATGGTTGCTGCCATCGTACTGATCAGACTCTTTGTGTATCATAAACCTTTCCCTGTCTTTTTGTCCTTTGTAGATCATAAGCTCTTTGTGGCAAGGACTTTGGATAAAAGAGTTTTTAAAAAATGGGCCATGACTCTGCTTGGTCCTTGCGCCCTGCTATTAAATTATTATTTTCAGCTAAGACTCCTTGATAATCCTGTGATTCAAGGTTGTATTAAATGGAGGAGATAATGGGTCATAACCAATGTATTAGCCAATCATTCCAGAAGCATGGCTGAATCTTAGTGGTGATATTGAAGAATCTAGTCCATACAGTTTTAAAATTAGTTTATTGTGTCACTTGACGAGATACAGTTGAGCACTAATGTGGCAAAACAGGGCTCTTCTGTCTCAGTAATGGTTTTATAAAAATTGAAGGACTTTCATGCACCTTTGTTCCCCCCCCCGATCAATAGCTTGGATTTTAAGTCTGGCATCCTGTTTCTTACAGTAGTTATCAGTCTTTAAGGTTAATCTTCATAGCGAACACAGGTTCTGTCAACTGCGTTGTGGCCAAGATAAATCTTTGTAGTGTTCACCTTTTCAAAAGGCTCATATTTTTGAGTGCTGGGTCTCCCCTATCAATGTTTACAATATCAAACCAAATGAACTTTTATGAACCTCAGATATTTTTTTCGCAGCTGCTGTATTTTCACTCACATGTAGTTTCTATTGTAATCCAGTGCTAGCAGTGTTCAGTTTAAGGTGCGCTGTAGTGTTGTACATCTATAGGAATGTACTGTAGTCCTAGGGAAGGATGTGTGAACACAGAAGTTTTTTCTGTTTCCAGTGTTAGAAGTTGGTCTACTAAATATATTCTCCTTACAGTCTCCTTAAAATTCAGCTGTACTCAATCAGTAGGCACCTTAGTATTGGCAGAGAAATCAGTTCTTTGTTGAATGACGATTAAGGGGAAAAAAAAAAAAAGACATTTCTAACAAATCAGATTGGTTTTAATCTCCTTGCTCTGAATAAATAGACTTGCGTGCTGAGAATGCCAAATGAGCAGGACTATTGTAATGCTCAGTCTTATCAATGAGGTAATGTTGCAGTAGTTTGAGATTAAAACATTATTTCATAATGTGACTGATAGATGGAAATGATAACAGTGCTACCTTGACTTGAATTATAAACTCCAGAGGATGGAAAATTTTATAAAGTCAGACATAGCACGTACTTGTTGGCACTCTTACCTATGCTGGGAAACCTCGCCTGTTAAACAAAGAGAACGGATGGATGGAGCCCTGAACCTCACCTCACCCATCCCCAGAGCAGTGGATACCAGGTGAGGATGATGTAGGCAGTGAGGCAGAAGGAAGAGACGTGGTCAGTTTTCAAATCATTAACCAGTAAATTTTAGTATCTAGCTGCATATTTCCTAAAATAGATATCATGGTTGAAATTATCCTTCAAAAAAATATTGCATCAGGCAGGTGTGAGAAAGAAAAATAAAATATGAGTAAGCATTTCATAATATACTAATTACAGCTTTCAGCTGGCAGTAAGGTATGGTCCCTTTCTGAAGAAAAAAAACAGGAAAACTGTAATGTCTTGTGGCTCATGTAAGCAGCTGTTAAAAAAGAAAAGTTGAGGAAAAAAATACAGTTAAAAGAAATAGTTGATTTGATGGACTTTAAATGTTTTTGCTTGCTCTAGAAAAATAAGACTAGTACTTTTGACTCTGTGATGAAGCATTAGTTCAGATAAAATGTGAACAATGGAAAGTGTATTCTCCAGCTTGAAGGATGGCAGCAAACAGCTGGATTTCACGTGAGGAGCTAATAACTTCTGTTGGAGAGGTTGGAGAGTACTTATGTGCTGCTCCCTGAATTATAACTGTTTTGCTTTCTGGAGAATTGCAGTGTGATAAATTCTTCCCTTGTGTAGTTAATTTACTCTTTACAGAAGAAAACCCCCAAATATTTTGCAGCAAAAAGCTCTTTTCCTTCTTTTAGACATAGATGCATTTAAACAGCTATCTGATGCAAAGCAACCTTGTATGTTTTTGTGAATTGTAAGAGCTTTGGTTAGTTGCTGAGTGCAACTGAACAGAGAAAGCTTTGTCTTTTCTTTATTTTTGTCTTGTTTTGAACTAGGTGCAGAAGGCAGTAAGTTATCACATTCATGATTATAGCATTATGTACTATTACATTTATGTGTATGAGATGATGTTTTTTATCCAGACAAAACCAGAGTAGACTTTAGATACAGTAGCTGATTTGAGAGAGAGTTTGAGAATATGGTTGCTATTTAAATGAAACAAATATTGTGAAACTGATACCTTAAAGTCCAGAAGAGTCACATAGTTGTTTAGGACTTATGCTCTGGTGTATTTTGCTTTAACTTATTTTGATTTGTTGGTTACACCTGTGTGAGAAGCTCTGTGCCTAGTATTTGAGGGACTGCTCTGGGCTGAGATTTTGTGCTTTCCTGATGGTGGTGTGTATCCCTGTTGGCCTGTTCGGTTAGTTTGGGAGTAGGGAAAAGATGGAATACTAATTTCCCTTTGGTACTCAGAAAGCATCCTTGACGCTTGAACATTTTGGTGACCTGCTTGTTTGTCATCCTGCTTTGTAATTCATACTGAAGGTAAAATGAGTATGTCCTGCCAAGCAGTGGTACGAAGCCATTAGCAGGTCATGCTTCGTTTGGATTGTTACAAGTTCAGGTTCTCTTAGTATAGATCCACACTGTTGGAGCAGCCCAGAGCATTTACTGGGCTGACCGAGATTCTCTGCCTTCTTTTTCCGTGGGAGTTGAAATGCTGATTTGAACAACCTAGTAGATTAGATTTTTAAATTTATTTTTTTTAATGCCTAGGTTACCTGACAAATGTGCCTGCCTGAAAACTTGTCTGGTTTCTCCAACTGTCATGTGGTATAAGATAAAGAGATACTCCCTCTTCCTACAAACCTTGCCTCGGATCCTCCCAGCACTGCAGTGGTGCTGCTGTTGCAGATTATTTTCCTTACTTTGAGTCAGTACAAGAGAAGATACACGTTTTAAGATTTGCCTTGCACCTTAAGAGAAGTAAGATGAGCTTTTACCACAACTGTCTACACTTGATTAATCTTTGCTTAAGAAATGCTTTATGTAGAGGAAATACCTTGGAGATCTGTAATCCTTAAAACAAAGTACGGCATAGAAGAGCTGCTCTTGCTAGAAGACAAAAGGGGTTTTTTTTTAAAGCTTGGGAGAAAGCACTGCTTGTGTATATGTATAAGCATGATTAAGAGAGACCTTTAAAGTAGACTTGGAAACCGTTTGTTCCTCTGCTGTAAGGGCTGCTGAAGCGTGTTGCCTGCAAAGGATTTTGTTGCTGTTAGATAACAATGCTTTTACTGAGATGGTAGTTAGATATTTTTAATCACTAGTTGACTTATGCCTAGGCTTCAGTCTTCTAATTGGTGTGCGTGTGTCCGTAGCCTGCGTGTGTGGTGTTCACCGTCGTGTCGGTGTTCCGCTCCGTGGTCTGCACAGGCCTGGCGTTGCCAGGCTGCTGTCGTGCTGTTTCACCCCTGGGGCTGCCTGCCTGTGTTCCTCTGCTACACTTATACCTTCGACAGTAGTTGTTCACTGTCATGTAGTTTTCTGAATTTAGATAATTTTTTTAATTAGTTTTGCTTTGTGAGGAATAAACCTTTGTTTTCTTACATAGCTTTAGATTTGAGATTTTGGCAAGTAGCCCTCAGTTGAAGCAGTTTTCTGTGGTAGTTTGCACAAGCAAGAAGGGAAGATTTGCTGTGGTTCGTAATCAGTAATGGGGAAAGATTAAGATGGCAATTGCTTGAGGTAGATTTTTAAAATAATGGTTTGCAGCCTAGGCCTATCAGCATTACCTTCGATTTTTAAGTGGGTGAATATTAGGAATAGAGAATGTATTTTAAAAGATGGTACATGCGCTGTCTCCAAGTAACCCACAGCCCACCAAGACATGGACAACAGACTTCTTCCTGCCACAGGTTGTGCAAATGAGAAGATCTCTCAAGTTAATTTGCTAATTTCAGTATCTGATGAATAGCAACATTTTTACTTTCCTTCAGTAGTTATGAATGTCAGAAATTTGGGTAACTTACGAAAGCTAGATTTCAGAGAATGCAATTATTTCCTAATGTGCCTTTCTTTTTTTTGTAGGAAATGAGAAAAATTTAGCAAGCAATAAAAGCAATGAACTGTATATTCCAACACTCACATTTCTAAATTAAAGTTACAGTGTATATTTGTACCAGAGTACATTTTGGTCACTCTGCTGAGAATAAATAATCTGCTGCTTACAGTGTTATATGTGCGAGTGAGTTAAAGATTTATTTGTTTGTTTGTAAAAGGAGCAGTGCTTTATTACAGAGACAGGCTGTTTCTGAAGTTTTTTCTGTAAGCATACTGTCAGGGCATGGAGACAAGACCTGTAGCAGGTTTTGAATTTCAACGCTCTGTGTCACGTAAGTTTTTACATTCAGGATCGTTTAATGTGACTGCACTCTAGTTCGCACTATTTCTCTCAAATGTTCTCCACATAATTAGATATCAGTCCCAAATCAGAATCATAATATTTGTGTTCTGTATCTAGAAGCTGCACCCAGCGATTTCATTATTATGGAAACATTCCTGTGTGGAAGTGCCAGGACGTTGGATTTAGCTGGCTGTCTGGCTATCAATGATTGTTCTATGTTAAAGTAGTTATCTGGCTAATGTAGCTTCAAGATTTAGACTTGTTATGTATTTAAATGTCTGTTCTAGCTTCGTTCCAGTAACTCCTCATGTTTTGCTTGTGCTTTGAACTTCTATAAACACCTCAGCATCTTCTCCCAGTTGGTGAAGAGGCAAAGCAGTTTTTCTGGTTGGCTGCCAAAGAGAGACTTGTACGCAAGAAATTTCAGTTTTAACCACTGCTGTGTGAAAGGCTAGTCACAATCTTACTTAGTTATAACTAATTTTGCTACTTTCTTATGAATTTCTGCAACATGAAAGATGCTTTTGTTTGAAATTGAGATTCCTAGCATGCTTTAAACTGTTGTAGCCAGGGTTTAGCATTGGATTAATTGAGAGATTAAGAAGCAATAGTCTCTTTATACAGTTAAAAAGGTTTATTAATCTAGCAAAGTGAAAATAGTAGTAATAATAAAAAACCGCTCCACCACCACCAAAAAACAACTCCACAAAATCCAGAACTTGCCTTCCTTTTATCTTGATCGCTAGTCCAATACTAGTACTTTTTATGGTTAGTAGTTTTATTTTTATTGTTAATGAGGTCTTCGGCAGGAACTAAGCAGTTACAGTATCTGTCTGTAAGCATGTATATACACACTTGTTTCTTGCCTCTGCGCACATATGTGCACATACATAGCATAACAAGATTTTTTATAAGTGACTTTTTGTCAAGTTAGAAACCACTGCTCTGGTCATGTACGTTCGTTTTTCTTTTTGGAAACTGTTGCCTGAAAAAAGACTGCTTTATGATATCAGCACTGAATTCTGACCTCCCATTCATACTTCTCTTTAGGGAAAAGCACTCTGTAACATATAGAAATTAAGTCTTAAGACATTTAGTAATAAACATATTTGTTATTAAAGTGATATTAGTCTTCTGCAGCAAATGAAAGCTACTGATGGTCTTTCTGAAATAAAGTTTATGATTGTGTTTGTTGCTCAGGCAACTCTTAGAGATCTAGCACAGAAAAAATGAACTCCTGCAGCCTTTCATCTAGGGCTCAGTGGTATCTATATCTTAAAGTTAATTATGTAAATCTGTAAGTTTATTGAAAAACTCATGTCATTGATTTTTTTTTTCCCCATTTCTATGATACGAAAATAGACCATTTAAAACATATTCTTAAAGAAACTTTAGGAGTAAAAGAGACAGACTTTCACATGGAGCTGCCTCTGATTGGCTGTCAAAAGCAATATCTGAAATAAAGCTAGGCATGACAAAAAAGTCATGCTTGTTCTGTAATGTCTAACCCGAAAGAAAGTGTCACACTTAATGTATGTTCATGTAAAGAATACTTATTCCTTATGAACCAGACTAAATGATAAATCTGAGCCTCAAACATTAGGTACGTGGATTGAGGCTTCCTTGGCTTGACAGATGAGTTAATTCTTTGGGACACTATAAACTTGCTGCTTTCCCCAGGGTGGGAGAAAATCAGATTCTCTGAAGCTGGTACTGGTAAAGTTTGTTGCCACTGATGGTGCCAGGGACCATCTCTGACTGCTCACGGAGCTTGGAGTCAATATGAAGGTAAAATCAGGTGCCTGACTCCTAGAAAGTGCAAAACCTATTCAGTGTACTGAACAGATACCTATTCTTCATTTCGTGTTTTTAAAAGAGAAGACTGCCTGCAATTAATGTAATATCCAATAGAACAGATACCAATGTTGTGCTTATGTTGTTACAAATAGTATTGCACTGTACAAAATGTAATTTCCCATGTCCACCTCCAATGTAGTATCAGTTCTGAGTCTCAGGTGATTTTTGAATGGTTTGGTTCAAAGGAAAGAATATTCCACAGTGGGTATACTTCCCATAAATACGTTAAGCTATATTAAGGTGAGAGGGAGAGAAGATTTAGCAGCCTTCATCCAAGTGGTTTTTTAAAATTGTAATGGTGGAAAGTGAACAGTTTTTCTGTTTAAATTAGACCTCCCCAAATAGTAGCCGATATGCTAGCCTGATGAAAGAAACACGCTGTACTTACCGAATAATATTATGAGAAGGGCAATTGGCATCACAAACAGACCCACGAGCAGATCTGCCACCGCCAAGGAAGTCAAAAAGTAGTTGGTAGCGTATTGCAATTTTTTCTCCAGAGACACCGCCAGTATGACAAGTATGTTCCCCCCAATGGTGGGGATTATCACCAGGAGGATCAGTAAAGCTGCCCAACGCACTTTGTTTCCTTGTTCGTCACTTGGGTCCAAGTCCTGCTTGGCTTCCCCTGTTACTGAGAGAGACAAAGATCCATTGCCAGCTCCAGACCCGTTCAAGAAATGTAAAGGATAGGACATTTTTGTGTCCAGCAGAATGTATTCAGGAGCTGTATTTTACGCAGGAATTGTCTACAGCGTAAGAGTTCACTGTTCCTCTCTGGTCCAGGACGGTCCTGAAGAAAGGCCAGCATGGTCAATATAGTAAACTGGTCATCTGCTATTTTGAGGTACTGTAACCACGTCCGAGCTGGTATCCAATTTTTTTATCCTGCCTTGCTGGATGCAGTTAGGTCTTAAAAATGAAAGTTCTCTCTTGTGTCCATCTCTGGTTGGTATGGTTCACTGGTCTGGTCTCCCTTTTATAGCGAGGTTCAGGTTTCAGAAGATTATAAGAGACAATTCAATAGCTGTGAAAAGTAAGCAGTGCATTTGCTTCCCTTTTTTTTTTTTCCTTTTTCTTTCTACAGCAGTAAAAAGTGTAGATGAATTTGGATGTCAGATTGTTCCCTTTAGATATGTTGTACGTAGATTTGCTCTTTGTAAGTACAGACTGATGCAAAGGCAGATGCTCGGGTTGTGAATAAGCAACTCCTCCTCTCCCGCGTGTCTAGGCTCCAGCAGCGTGTGCGTAGGCAGACGGCAGTTCCCATATTTCCCCTTATTAAGAATCCTGTTTCTCCACAGAGGGTCACCCCAAAAATATCTTCTGAAGTGATGTATGAGGTTTCCGTTTTAGTGTCTACAGTTCCTAATTTGTCAGGTGAGGGTAAGGAAACTGTAGACAATAAAACACTGGTGGCAGTCTCAAGGGCACCATAATGATTTATGGAACTGAGACATCTAAATTTACGCATTACTCCGAAGGGGGGTGAGTAAACCGCTTGTTTTTGTAATCTGAGCAGGGCTTTTATTAAGCACAGCCTTTTCTCTCCCTCTCTCTTTCTCTCTCTCTGTCTCTCTTAACTGCTGAAGACTTTAACGCTTACATTTCCCCCTTCAAGCAGAAGCTAAAACAGCTCTCACGGCATTAAGCTGATTAAACGCTCAGTTACTGAGATGATTTGATGTGTTGCAATTTTCAGGTGAAGAAAGCCTTACCTCTTTCTCTTGCATTTTGGTAGAGTTCCCTTTGCATCCAGGAAGATCCTTTGTAATTTTCTTTTTCATCACATGGTGGATTTTAAGAAAAGATTTTTCACTGCTTTCTGGAAAACAGGTTTTTCATTTGGTTTTGATTTTTATAATTTTTCTAAAGCTTGTCTCTTTGTGTGCTTTTTGTTTAGCTCTTATTTTTCTTCTAATACCAAGAATTTCTATTTTGGGAGAACTATATTTCTTACCCAGGTATTTTCTCCAACTCTTGAATGGAGGAGAAGAATCGTTCTTGACACATTTTAAAAAGATATAAATAAGGTTGTGTTCTTTTCTTTGCTGTCCTTTCTCTTCCATTCTTTTTATGATTTTACTGAAGTGATTAGCAGAGTCTATGTGCAGTTTTCTCTTTGTTCATTAGGGAAGCTCGCAGTCTGCTGCTACCCTTGTTTGTTGATTGACTCATTCCAGTGTATCCAGCTCCAGTGCTTGAAAAGCAGGGAAGCAAATGAGTGGGAGTTTGGCTGGAAAAGAGCCAGAGAAGGTTAATGGATTCAGTGCTCCGGTACTATAATGTATGCTCCTTGTAGCTGTATCAGGATGTGCAGATCCTGTAAATGACCCTTCATGCTACAATACTGTAGCTGTATGCACCGCCTGCTTGCTCTTGCTCGCTTGCTCTCGGGACGGAAGAACAGTTAACCCTAAAAAGTTCTGCTGCCCTGTAAACGCTCCAGTTTTTTTCTTGGCTAATTGAAGAAAACTATTGTCTGGCACAGTATTTTAAGTGTGTGTGCTGTTACTTTAAATCTTTCTTCATGCAGCTGCTCTTTATTATCATGTGTGTTCCGTTTTGTTGCCTTCCAACTATGTCAGATGTGTGCATGGTCTCTAACACCGTCTCACAGTTCTGCTTTAAAATGGAAATAGAGGTCACTTTCAAGGACATTAGCTGGGCAAGTGTGTAATAAAGTCCTTGAGTTTAAGGCCAGAAGAGACCAGGAGATTGTGGTCTGACCCCCTGTGTGTCAGCGGCCATTGCGTTCCGTGAATTGCTGGTGCTTGCCAGGCTGGAGCTGGGAAGCAGGTCCTCAGTGAACTGTGAATCAATTGGGGGGGGCAAAAA